ATTCTATATATTCTAACTTATTTATGTGAATCTACAATCATTGTTGCACAAGTTTATACAGTTTATATAAGTAATACACGGCACAGAAATCTACACAACCTATTTTCAGTCATTCAGTTCAAACATCGGCACCAAACTGGACCATGACATGGCTATGGTTCACAGGTGACTGATACTCACATCACATGGCTATCGTTGACACCTTGTGAACGATGGCCATGTGATGTGAGTGTCACCTGTGAACGATGGCCATGTGATGTGAGTATCAGTCACCTGTGAACCATAGCCATGTCATGGTCCAGTTTGGTGCCGATGTTTGAACTGAATGACTGAAAATAGGTTGTGTAGATTTCTGTGCCGTGTATTACTTATATAAACTGTATAAACTTGTGCAACAATGATTGTAGATTCACATAAATAAGTTAGAATATATAGAATAATGAAATCATAAGGTTGTTGAAGCTAGATCTAGCAATATAATATAGATCTAGTGCTAAATATGGTTTATAGCAATCTAGTCTGCATATCACATTTGCCACAGACAGGTTTTGACCACTTAATATAAGTAATATAAATGTATAAAACTTGAAGACATCTATATAAATGTCTACTGTTTATTTATTAACAACATTAACAACATACAGCATGCATAAGACTACAGACCATAATAATAAATGCATTTACCACCATTAAAACAATAAAACATACATCAAATTAATATAAAGTCAAATTTAATGAGTGGCCATGAAGGTTGTTTTATTTTCAGAAGTGAATCATAGGTCAGCCTGACTGAAGTTTATATTTGTCAGCCCCACTGGTCATAATGCTGTTAATATGATCACAGGTATTTTCTTTGGCTATATATTTGATATTGTGAGCTAATGTAGAATGAAATTATTGAACAACAGTACAATCTTACCTCTATTTTGCAGGTCCAGATTGTTGTTTTAGGCATTAATACCAACATTTTAGCAGTATAACAGTTCAGGACATGTTAGTGCTTTTTCTGATGAAAAGTTGAAACATCACAAGCTAAAATAAATGTTTTAAGCTGCGCAACGAGTCTTAAAATTTGAGAACCTTCTATGTTGGTTGCCGAAAAAACATTGCAAGCCATTTCCTGTAGGTGGCGCTAAACATCCGCAAAAAGATTCATTAGTAATTAGCTCTTTAWTATTAATTATTTAATTGTTATTAATAATACTTGAAAAAAATTATTTAGTTCTCACCGTAGATACTGCACAATTTTTTGCTTTTTGTAAAGCGTTAGCATTACCGATTAGCCGCTAGCATTAGCGATTAGCCATGTCGAGTAAAAACACTTTTTGCTAACTTGATAAAACTTGTAGAGCTGCAATATAAAGTTGACCCTTGATAAAAAGGTAAAACGGTTTAATCAGATTTACATTAAACACTTTTTTGGGAAAATGTAGCTTTTGTGATATAAAACTCTGACATTACTGTTGTAAGATCAGATGCATTYTGTTGAAAGTAAACGTACACAAAATATTCAAGAAGGCCTGTGTTTGAGTGTTTAATACTTGTATAAATCATATTTTATACATATTTTCGATTGTAAATAATAGCATAACTTGTTAAAATGAACAATAATAAGACCAGTTTGTTGTTCATACATTCTTTTATAAATGCTTCAGTCTTTATTTACTTTAAACTTTTGTTGAGACAAGGTTGATTTTACTTTCAATGTTATAAGAACAATTAGTAATATGCATTTTTTCTTATGCTTTCTTATAACAGTAGTGTAGCTGTAAATTATATTTTAAGCAGAATTTTCAGTTTGTTAACTCATTAAACAGAGAACTAATAATTAGTTTTTATCCTGCAGATGCAGCTCACACGCTCACCTGTGCCCTGATGCTGCTGAACAGCGATCTGCACGGTCAGGTGAGGAAACTCTGAGTTGATCTCCTGTAAATGGGAGAAGTTTATAAAGCTGAGCTTTGTACAAGCCGTGGCTTCATTAACGGAGGAGTTTGGGGACTCGGGCTAATCACCATCCGATCTGCAGGTTTTCCTGCTGAGCCTCTTTCTCCATCATTAATCGTCTCGTTTTCCAGTCCCGGCCTTCTTTAGGAAAYCTGGGCCGTTGGCAGCTCTGCTCCGTGATAGTGCGGCTCTGTGGATGAATGATTAATTAAAGAGATGAAGAGGAGGATCAGCTCTTACAGAGAGGAGCACTTCAGGAACCTTTCAGCCCATCTGAACAGATTTAAATCTGACCTGTGCTGTCGTCAGTGACACACTGTGAATTTAGAAACAGGATTACGGGAAATTATTTTTAATATTCCACCATTGTTTCTGAAGAAACTGAAAACTTCTGTGTTTCCATCTTTATTTGATTAGGTTAGAATAGGACGTGTTTGAAGTAAAAATTACAGCTAAAATATGTTAAAACAAACAAAAAAGCTCATAAAATCTTACATGCAGTTGTTAACATGTTTAATAAAACAGCTGAATCTCTGGTTGAGAAAAAGAATCATTTTAATGAAGTTTAGGATGTATTAATTAGAGATATTAGAGACTGATTTGCCAAGTTTCAAAGTACAATTTTTTTTAATTTCTGTACATTTTTTCTGTCTTTAATCCTGCACACTTGGTGCTATTTTAGCTATTCAAAACATTCGTCTCTTTCAGGTGATGGATGCTGTGATTTTGTTTTTGTAATTATTGTATTTTTTAAGATATTTAACATTATTTACAAATATTTACCTCATTGAAACATATTAAGATCTGCTCCAACAGACTGGGTTCATTTCTGTCTTCTTATGTAACTGTTTTAGATAGTCTTTTGCCTTTTTTTAGCTTTTAATTAACCTTTCTGTACTTTTAGCTTCTAGATAGCATTTTGATCATTTTACCTTTTCACTAGCTTTTTAATCTACTAGACTTTAGCTTTTAACTAATATATTGCTGTTTTTAGCTATCATTTAGCTATTTTTAGCTTGCATATTGCTACTTGAACTTTTAGCTAACCTTTTTATACTTTTGATATTTAGCTTAGGTTACCTTTAGCATCTTTTAGCTAACATTTCGCTCTATTAGCTTGTATTTTTCTACATTTTACGTTTAGCTAATGTGTTGCTGCTTTTAACTTTGAAACATGTTAAGTGGATTTGGAGTTATAAATCCTTAAATTTGTGCTAAAAATTTGTAGTTTTACTTTTAGTAGCTGCAGTTTTTTGTTACTTACATCTGAAAAAATAATTTGCTTTATTTGTCTGAATCTTATTTATCTGCCAGTTTTACATAAATTTTGGAAAAATTGATATTTTTCATATTAAAGTTTAAACGTTTTAATTCTTTAATTTTACTCAAACATCTTCAACAAGTTCAGTTAAAATACATTATTTGTGTTAAATAAAGAAAACTCTTGTCTGTAAATCGAAAATGATATTAAAGCTGTTACTTTTTCCAGAATGTTGGCAAGAGGATGTCGTGCACTCAGTTCGTCGGCAACCTGGAGGGACTGAACGACGGCCAGGATTTTCCCAAAGATCTGCTCAAAGTAAGCAGTTTTCAGTCTAAAGTAACATCCTTCATCAGAGCCAGCAGGCTGAGCGCCASCCTCGTATTGTCCCTCAGATCTGAACCTGCTGCCAGCTGGTGTTTATTTTACCTCCAGAGGCCTCCAATCAGAGACCACTTCCTGTCTCAGCTACAGAACTGTTGTTAGATCCAGAGAGTAGGAGGAGGTTATTTACAGCCGGCCTTCAGCTGCATGATGTCAGTCCTTCAGCTTCTGTCTGCAGCAGCAGAGATTCAGTCAGAGGCCACGGCCACGGTGTGGTGAAATAATCCCATCAACTAGCGGCCTGTTGCTGCTCCTGATAATGATGCTGTAGATAAAGTCGGTCCATCAACAAGCCACTAGTCCCCCGAGTGTCGGCCAACAAGTAGTAATGGTATATTTATGATGCGCGGGGGGGGAGAACTGAGGCTGCGTCCTTCTGCTGCGGTGATGAGGCTAAAATGAAAAGCTGCTCCGGTTATTAAAGGCAGACAGCTGCTGCCCGGCGGCTGCGAGCTGATGGAGGCACAGACGAACCGGGTCGAGCGTTGGCTGTTTTATTAAAGCTTGTAGAAATCCAGAAACCGTCTTTGTGAATGCGCCTCCACAAGTTGTGTCGGTCCAATCAGACTGTAGTCGTTTCTCCCCTCAAGACAAACTCTGCTGTCCTCCTTTCCTCCTGCTTATTTCAGCTGTTTCAACTGCTGTAGAGTTTAAAGACGTGAATGATGAGTCATCACATACCTTATTAAACATTCAGATCTTTTCATTTCCTTCAAAACTTTGTTCTCTTTGAAATCTGCTTCAGCTAACTTGATGTATTTTTGACTCCTTATGCTACATTTGGCTTTTAGCTACTGTTCAGCTAGTTATAGCCAGATTAGCATTTGGCTAAGTATAGTTTCAAGCTAACCTTTAGTTAACTTTAACTTTTAGCTAGCCTTTTGATACTTCTACCTAGCTGTTTGGTTTTTATTGCTTTTATTTAGCTTTTAGCTACTTGTAACATTTAGCCACCCTTTTGCTGCTTTTAGTTCTGGGCTTTTGTTACTTATAACTAGTTGTTAGCTTTAAACTAGTTTTTTGCCACCTATAGCTTCTAGTTAGCCTTTTGCTACTTATTGATTCTATCTAGCCTTTAGCTACTTATAATATTTAGCCAGGCTTTTGCTCTTTTTGAGCAACTGGGCTTTTGTTATTCTTTGCTAGCCTTTAGCTTTTAACCAGCCTATTGTTAGATTTATATTCCAGCCTTTTTTCTGTGTTTCACTTCTATCTAGCTTTTAGCTACTTACAACCTTTAGCCAGGCTTTTGCTACTTTTAGTTTCTAGCTGGTCTTTTGATGCTAATAGCTTGCCTTTAGCTTTTAACCAGCCGTTTGCTGCCTTTAAGCTTGTTTTTTGATATCTCTGGTTTGCCTTTATATACTTCCAGCTAGCCTTTTGCTTCTCAAAACTTCTTTTTAGCTTTAAGCTAATTCTAACTTTTAGCCAGCCTTTTTGCTACTTTTAGCAGCTGGGCATTTGTTACAAATTACTAGTATTTTTAACCAGTCTTCTGTTACATTTAGTTTCTAGCTAGCCCTTTGCTGTTTATCACTTCTATCTAGCTTTTAGCTACTTATAACTTTTAGCCAGACTTTTGCTTGTTAAATTTTCTAGTTGGTAATACTAAGAACTCTCCTTTAGCTTTTAGACAGCTTTTTGCTACCTATAGCTTCTATCTAGCCTTTTAATACTTTCAACTTCTAACTAGCATTTAGCTACCTATARCCTTTAGTCAACCTATTGCAACTTTTAGCTAGATAATCTCTTGATAAGTTTAGCTATAACATTTAGCTCCTTTTGGCTTTTAGCTAGTGTCCTGCTTATTTAAGTTTTAACAACATTCAGATATAAACACTAAACATTTTCACAGATAAATGTTGTCATTATTCATCTCTTTTTCACCTCCTTATTTCTGTTTCTCCATCAAATCTCGCCTAAATATTTCTGCACCATCTGTCTCTGCAGGTTTCTTCTCTCTCTCTCTCTCTCTCTCTCTCTCTCTCTCTCTCTCTCTCTCTCTCTCTCT